AAGATTGTTAAAGTTACGGGTTAATTGTTAAGGTTACGAGTTAATTGTTAAGGTTACAGGTCAATTGTTAATGTTATGGATCCTCTCTCTCTCTATCATGATGTTACTGTGATGATATTGAAATGATTGAAGAGGATTGTTATTTTATTATTTTCATTTTATATTATTTTTGGATTTTTAGAATATTCGTTGTTAAGGATAATGGTTGGTTATAAAGGTTATGTATTGATTGTTAATGTTACGGGTTGGTTGTTAAGGTTATTGGTGTTTTGTTAAGGTTATGAGTTTGTTGTGTAGGTTATGAGTTTAATTGTTAATGTTACGGGTCAATTGTTAAGGTTATGGGTTTAATTGTTAAGGTTACGAGTCAATTATTAAGGTTACGAGTTTAATTGTTAAGGTTACGGGTCAATTATTAAGGTTACAGATTTAATTATTACGGTTACGGGTTTAATTGTTACGGTTACGGGTTTAATTGTTAAGGTTACGGTTTAATTGTTAAGGTTACAGTTTAATTGTTAATATTACGGGTTTAATTGTTAAGATTACGGGTTTAATTGTTAAGATTACGGGTTAATTGTTAAGGTTACGGGTCAATTGCTAAGGTTACGGGTCAATTGTTAAGGTTACGGGTTTAATTGTTAAGGTTACAGGTCAATTGTTAATGTTACAGGTTTAATTATTAAGGTTACGGGTCAATTATTAAGGTTATGGGTTAATTATTAAGGTTACGGGTTTAATTGTTAAGGTTACGTGTCAATTGTTAATGTTACGGGTCAATTATTAAGGTTACGGGTTTAATTGTTAAGGTTACGGGTCAATTGTTAAGGTTATGGATCCCTTCTCTCTCTCGTAACATTAACAATTAAACCCGTAACCTTAATAATTAAACCCGTAATCTTAACAATTAAACCCGTAACCTTAACAATTAAACCCGTAACTTTAACAATTAACCCGTAATCTACACAACAAACCCATAACCTTAACAACCAACCCGTAACCTTAACAATCAACCCGTAACATTCACAACCAATGCATAACCTTTACAACCAATCATTATCCTTAACAATTAACAATTAAACCCGTAACCTTAACAATTAAACCCGTAACCTTAACAACAAACTCGTAACCTACACAACAAACCCATAACCTTAACAACAAATCCGTAACCTTAACAACCAACCCGTAACCTTAACAATCAATGCATAACATTTACAACCAATCATTATCCTTAACAACGAATATTCTAAAAATACGTAAATAATAAAAAACAAAAATAATAAAATAATAATCCTCTTCAATCATTTCAATATCATCACAGTAACATCATGATAAAGAGAGAGAGATGGGTCCATAACCTTAACAATTGATCTGTAATCTTAACAATTAACTCGTAACATTAATAATTAACCCGTAACTTTAACAATCACCCAATACAAACAACAAAAATAATAAAAAACAAAAATAATAAAATAATCCTCATCAATCATTTTAACTATCATCTCAGTACATCATGATAAAAAAAGAGAGAGAAAAGAGAGAGAGAAAATGGTATTATGGTCTTCACATATTTTAATCTCTTGGGTTTTGTGTTTTGGGGCTCAGAGAACAAAATCTTTATTTTTGGGGGCAAAACACCCGTTGACAAAGTCTTGGGGGTGGGAAGCACGTTTTCTTGGCTTTTGGGGCTGGAAGCATTTTCCCTTCTTTTTTTGGTAACCATGCAACTGAATACAGCTTCTATAGATTTCTTAGCGATTCTTTGCTTGCATATAAGATGCTGAGCAACTCGTAGTGAACATGGAAGATTTTGTATGAGATAAAGGATTAGACTAATCCTTGACATGCATTTGGAGAGAGGCCGTCAAGATAGTTTGTTGTAAATGAATTTCCAAAATAATTGAACTTAGCTTTAACACATTAGTAGACAATTACATGTCTATAACGATACATAAGTTATTAAAATATATTAGAAGCTAACTGGCGCTAGCAATCGAAAGTTAGCAGACGTAAAGCACACTTGCGCATCAACTGTTCTAAGTTTCTGAAAGTACCACGAACACATAATAACCTTACTGTCAAATTATGCCCAAGCAATTCATGCACTTAGGAATTAGGATCTTCACAGCTGTATGGGCTAGAAAGGTTAAATTGGCAATATCTTGAGATTAGATCACAATTACAAGTTGACTCGTCAATCATAAGACCTTTTGTTTGTGATCTGGAGAACAATTTTAAGCAAAAAATATTATTGGCAACTCACCAAAACCACCAGCTGGCGGGAAACGATGAGCAGCATCACCTGCAAGTATAACTCTATTGTCACAAGAAACAAATTTCTCAGCAACTTGTGCATGCATCACCCATGGTTTAATATCTACAACTTTGACGTCTTCAAGCTTCCATCCAACCAGCTTGAAAATAATGTCTTCACATACCTAGATTAAGTTAAATATCTTAAATTGAAAATATTGACAAAAGAATCTCCGATTCAAGAAAACAACTACATTTTGATTTGGCAGCTATTTGCATGAAAGATTTAAATAGAATGGGAAAATAATAAAGTTACTCAGTATAGTTTCTTTTGAACAGACAACTAAAAATGTATGAACACCTGGGATTAATCGGTAGATCGAAGGAAGTGAGAAATGGAAAAATCAAGCTGAATTTCTTTTTACAAGCTACAATTATATCCAAAAAATGGGGATGACAACAGCATAGTACATATTCAACCAAGGTCATATATAACCTGTAGAAAACTATGGACAGTGCTGACTTATATCAAATGATAAACGACAGACTAAGCACTTAAAACATAGCTGAATAATGCGGAGTAATGTTCTCTCTACATGGGAATGACAAGATATCCACACGAGAATCAGAAGATCCATAAATGGGATTGATAAGATATGATTCTACAAAAACCTACCCTGTTCATAATACAAAAACATAGTACTGGAATTGTAATATATGCATCACACTAAAGAAAATTATGGATAAAAAAAAAAGAATAAGGGCCTGTTGCTGGGATGAATGAATGGATAATTCAAGATTACCTTGGAACTAAAATCCTTGAAGCTTTGCTGAGGAGGATAGTAGGGAATCTAGAGGAGAAAGAAGGTTAAAATTCATCCCTTTAATCGTGAGAAACATATATTGGAGTACAATTAAAAACAATGCACAATAAATTCAGTGTGCATTATTGATTTCCACATCTTTCTTCAGGCATAATGTTCAACACCAAATATCTCAATCTGCACAGACAGCAGTACCTGAAGAATAAATTCCCCTTGGCTGAGATCATGCGCAACCAGAACCCCGATAGCCTCAGGGTTAAAAATAAAAAAGAGCATCCCAGGTCTCTGATGCAATAGATATTGTCCAAGATCTCTACTCAAGAAATGGACACTAACAAGTTTTTGCAAGTCACTTTCACCTTTCATTTCTATGCCTACCAGCTTTCGAACGATACTTCCTGCACCATCACAGCCAACAAGAAAGCTGCAGTGAAAGTTCTTCTCTTCCACTCTCCCTTCATTCCGAAAACTCGCTCCTACTGTGACACCTTCATTAGTTGAGTCGATAGAAATGCATTCCAGGCCCATCAAAATCCTCTTTTCTAGTGTACAACCAGGATTTGAGCCCTCAAATCCATCAGGGGTACCAACATGAAATCCGAGAACTTTCAGCTTCTTAAGTAGCAAGCTAACCAATTTGTACTGTGAGAAGTGGGCAACACATACCGGACTGATTATCTTTTCAAAATCTGGTGAGGAAATGAAGCAAGTTCAATACATGGCTATTTTTTATAACCAACTATAGAAAGGGAAAAGGAGAAGACATAAGAGGTATGGGCAGTATACACAAGCATTCTGGTACTAACACCTTGAGGTTGCATGTGGTCCACTGACCCAAGAACTGAACCAGAAAGAGAAGTACAGTATATGAATTTTCTCCACAAATCAATTGCAGGTTGAAGCTTCTGGATATCCGAAGCTATACCATCCAATTTGTGAAAAATCTGCAAAGAGAATACAAGTAGAAAGACAAAATACAGGATCTTCATTCTCATTGTGGATTATTGGCATTACTAAAAAAGCAAGATATATGAGTAAGTGATCTGAGTGTTTGGACATAAGAAACTCAGATTCCATGGTATCCAAATAGTGTTAAAAATAGAACACTTGGATACAGAATAACATGTTTCATGGCATCTGACCAAATGTCTTTATATTATAAAGAAAAACTAGAAGAACCACCAATAATACCTAATAATCACATCCAACACAATGTAAACATAAAAAAACAAGAACCTCCATAGAACGATTGTTAATGAAGTGAGCTTGCGGGTGTTGAGAAAAAACTGTGCTTTTCTCTAGAACTGCACACTTAACCCCTACAAAATAATGAGATAAAAGAACATGTTACTAAAGAAAAATAAGACACGCCGATCAAAAAAGAGAAACAAAAGAACAAATACAGGAACGTTGCAAAGCAGTGCCCTGTTGGGTGAATAAAACAGGACAGTTTATGAAGTCAAAGCAGCCCATGACCCTCAAATAACAATTTGCATTCCAGGAATGAATAAACAACGTATAATATGTGACTAACATATAACAATTTCTATAACATTGTAAATTAACAGAGGGATTCAAGACCTAGTCGCCAATTGACCAAAACTTAGAACAACGTCTACATACAAAAAGTGCTCCATAATTGTCTACAAACGCAGTGTATTCATTTTTCTTTTTGTTGTTGTCTATGGCAACACTAGAAGAAGAACATAATGTTCTTTCTTGCTGAAACTATCATAGAATACAGCCTAGGAGTTGTAAGAGAAAAACCTCAGTCGTACAGATGTTACCAGAAAGTTACGTCCTTCTGCAGTTTGACTCGCACTAGAGACAAAAAGACACAGGTAACAAAAGAAGGATGGAAGGTCATCTACACGAATAAAGTTTGTGAAGAATGTAGATGCTTAATAAAAAGAGTTATCTAGTTCCTTCTTAAGTAATTGGTCAAAACTAAATAATTGCAACTAATAAGTGGATAGGACTGGCAGCCGGATCATAGAGATGCAAATCCAATAACCTTCCTCCCTCTCCTACTGTCATCCCCTCCACGATCCCCACCCCGCGGTATCTCACATATCAGTATACATAATAAAAAAGGTAAAGGTCCTCTCCTTGAGTATCAAAAGACGGACTTTTGGGATTGTCATCTCAGGGTATCTTGATGGGAAAAACATGTGGATTTTTATGGTGTAATAAAAGAAGCATATATCTATTGAAGGCAATACCAAGTCTAGGTTCAGGCTTTAGTGTGTAAACTCCATTAATGTAACTTAGGTCATATAAAGAAATCTATACTGTTAGGAACTAGGTTAGTAGTTATTGTTCATTTACTTATGAATATACCACCAAATTAAATAAACAAATAAATTTTCAGAGAAGAAAACATCTTAAATAAATAAATTGCATTCCCTGTGGAATAATAATAACTGGGGTCGTATACACTTTATACCCCAAAGCTTCGCCCTTTTTATTTACCCAGAACTTCTACCTTGACAATTCAATGTTGGATTAAATCTAATTATGGGCATATATGTTACATTAGTGTATATTGTTATCTTTAAGGCTAACCCACATAAAGTGATCAATCAATTTGGGTTAATGAGTATTTAAGTAAATTATGTGCTAAATGTGCGAATACCAGATTGTAATTATAATTTGATGAGGGGTCAAATTATAAAAGTATAACAACTATAAATAAGGGGTTACGGTCCCTAATCTAGGCTTACATTCTTTATTCTCTTAATCCCCATCTAAAGAGATTCCAAAAGGAGAGACCATCAAGATTAGAAGATCAAACCCTAATTCAGATCCGTGCAAATCTAAGTTATGGATTCAGGTATTGCTTCCGCTCTCATTGTTATTTATTCTCTTTGAATTAATCATGGTTTTATGGATTAGATCTCAGTTTTAGATCTAACAAATGGTATCAGAGCCACCCGTGATTAATTCTTAGGGGTTTAAGATATAAAAGTTGGGTTTTTTGATCTTAAACTGTGGTTTTTTAGAACTGTTCATGGATGAACAGTAAAAGTTCAATTTTTTTGTTTGGTTTTTCTTTCGGTTTTTTGGATCTGTAGCACTCATGAACTGGAAAGTTCATTTCTTTTTTTGTTTGATTCCATTTTTTGAGGTTTAGATCTGAAATGGATTCAAGTTTAGATCTGGATTGAGTTCAAAAATCGACAAAAAAAAACAATATGTTTCTTTTGTTTTTTGATCTATCGTCGTTCACCAAAACTCCTCGCCGGAGTTGTATCGACGGCAGTCCCACTGTCAAATGAAGACAATAGCGGCGGCGATTTTGAGAACGAAACCTTAAAGGGTGTTCAAGCAGGAAACCGTGCGTGAAACCATGCGAAAATTAGGGCAAAAGGAGGAGGTTACCTCATTTTCAGGCGAGCCTCGTGCTCGATTCAAATGAACCCCACGTTCGTTCTCAAGTCGAACCCCGCATTCAATTTCAGGTGAGCCTCGTGTTCGATCCAAACAAACCTCACGTTCGCTCAAACCTTGCGTTCATTCTCAGGCGAGATTCGTGCTCGATTCAAGCGAGCCTCGTACTCGATCCAAACGAACCCTGCGTTTGTTCTCAAGTCGAACCCCGTGTTCAATTTCAGGTGAGCCTCGTGCTCGATTCAAGCGAGCCTTGTGCTCGATCCAAACGAACCCCGCGTTCGTTCTCAAGTCGAACCTCGCGTTCAATTTCAGGTGAGCCTTGTGCTCGATCTAAACGAACCCCGCGTTCGTTCTCAAGTCGAACCCCGCGTTCAATTTTAGGTGAGCCTCGTGCTCGATCCAAACGAACCTCGCGTTCGTTCGAACCTCGTGTTCATTCTCAGGCGAGCCTCGTGCTCGATTCAAGCGAGCCTCGTGCTTAATGCAGTCGAACCTCATGTTCGAAGATTAATCAAACTTCGGTTCACTACGGGTGAGCTTCAGTTCGCTGTAGGCAAGCTCATACAAACTTGTTAAGTTGATTATAACAGGTCAAGCCCTCTCAAGTTGATTTATTTAGCTTGGGCCCTTAAGATATTGGGCATTTAATTATTTGAGGATTATTTAAACTTTTCAAATAATTATTGAATTTTTGGGCCTGTAGTAAATCATTTTATGGGCCTATTATAATTTTATAGTGTGGATTATTTGAATTGCTCAAATAATCTATTAAGTTATGGTCTCTCTCTTGTATGCTTAATTTAATTAATTAAGTTAATGACCCCAATTAAGTTTTTTTGGAAATTTAGTCAATTTTGAATTAAAAATTGTTTAATTTAAATTGAATTTGGTAGTTAATCAATTATTTAATTTAAATAATATGACACTAAGGAATTAAAGTTGTCTCTCATTCTAAATGATTAATTAAAACAAAAAGTTGCCAAAATAACCTCTCTTGTGTAGATTGTTCATGAGGGATATTAGATGGCTGTATGTATGTTTTCGTGTAAATATTTAATCGGCCCAAAGAAAGGTTAATATTTATTTAGATTGCATATGCATCTGCGATGATAAACACGTGACAGTTATAAGGTTTACATGTGGATAATGAATCGATCCAAAGATAGTTTTATTATTTGACATGAGTTATTGTCAGTGTTTGATCATTGCAACAATGTATCACTTACAAATTAATATTACTGTCCAAAGACTTGATATTAATATTGTGCCAGATATCTTGAGATGAGATTTGTCATTATTTGAATTTTATTAATTATTAATTATGGTTAATAATATAAGTATCTTTTGTTTATTTCAGCTAATGCATCTGCTATAACAATTTCTGCTAACATCAACTTAATTCTCATGCTCAATGAGACTAATTTTAAGGTTTGGAAAGAGAACATATTAATTGTTCTTCGCTGCATGGATCTAGACTTTGCATTAAGAACCGAACAACCCCAACCTCTCAATGCGGATAGCACTCCTGATGCAAAGAAGGAGTATGAGAAATGAGAGCGTTCAAATCACATGAGTCTCATGATCATTAAACGCGACGTTCCGAAAGCCTTCAGGGGCATAAAATTCGAAGAGATTACTAAGACTAAAGATTTTTTTGCTGAAATTGAGAAACGTTCTGTAAAAAACGATAAGATAGAAACAAGCACGCTTTTAGCTCGCTTGATTTTGATGAAGTATAAGGACAAAGAAAATATCAGGGAGTACATTATGAAAATGTCTCATATTGCTTCAAAACTTAAGGCACTTAAATTCGATCTCTGTAATGAGTTACTGGTGCATCTGGTTTTATTGTCTCTTCCTGCACAATTCAATCAGTTTAAGGTCAGTTATAACTGCCAAAAAAAAATAGACTCTGAATGAGCTCATTTTATACTGTGTAAGAAGAAAACAGGTTGAAGCAAGATAAGATTGAAAGTGCTCATTTGACTTATGCCCCTAAGGATAAGGGTAAGAAAATGAAGAATGGTAATGATGCTGCTAAGGATCCTGTTCAGAAGAAACAACCCTGACCAACAAGTCTGGACATGTAAAGAAGGACTGTACCAAATATCACGTCTGACGTGCTAAGAAGGGTACGTTTCTTACTTTAATCTGTTCTGAGGTTAATTTAGCTTCAGTACCTAGAAACACTTGGTGGTTAGACTCTAGTGCTACTATTTACATAAGTGTTTCTATGTAGGGTTGCCTGAACTATCGAAAGTCAAGTGATGTTAAAAGATACATCTTTGTTGGCGATGGACAATCGTTAGATATGGAAGCAATTGGACACTTTAGGTTGCTGTTAGGAACTGGTTCATATTTGGATTTAAAAGATACTTTTGTTAGGTTGCTGTTAGGAACTGGTTCATATTTGGATTTAAAAGATACTTTTGTAGTACCGTCTTTTAGACGGAATTTGATTTCAGTTTCTGTATTGGACAAATCAGGTTATTCTTGTTCATTTGGAAACTATCAATTCAGTTTATCTTTTAATTCAATTGCTACGGGAACTGGTTACTTGAGTACTTATGACAACCTATATTTGCTTGATACAATTGCTTCTTATAATGAATCCACTGTTTTAAAAAACCTCCGTCTAGCCCGCTTAGACGTACGCCTAGGCCTAGGCGGTACTTAGGCCGCCTAACTAGCGCCTAGCGCCTAGGCGGTATTTAGGGTGCCCACCTAGATTTTACGAGCGTTTAGGAGAGCATTGTCTGCTTACGTGGATTGCACCCTGTAGGCCTTGATTGTGATTTTATGTGTCGTAGCATACACGTCCTCCAAACTCCATTAACCTCCAAATATGAACATCTCCACTACCTCCTCCGACCTTCAGCAAAACCTCATCGACCACCACTTAAATGAAGAAAGAAAAATAACGCCC